TGTTTTGGGGCACTCCCAGTGTCCATCCTGCTCTTAGGGATCATCCAGGACATGTGGTGAGCCATCGGGAAGAGCTGGAAACCCCAGGGAATTGTCCTGGATGGGTTTGGGATGCTCCATTTGGGGTTTTTCCAACACCACTGGAGATTCCTGCCTGGGGCGATGCTTTGGGACAGTCCTGGTGTTTTGGGACATTCCCAGTGTCCTTCCAGGCCCTTCTGGCTGACCCTGGTGGTGGCCGTGCTCCTGCAGCATGTCCTGGCCCATTTCCAGTTCCTGGAGCAACATTCCCTGCAGAAGGAGATCACCAACAGGTACAGGGACACTGCCATCATCCCCCATTGTCCCCAGTTGTCCCCCATTGTCCCCAGGGGGGTTTGGCAGGAATTCCAGGTTCCCAGGAGGTTTCTCCAGATGTTCTGGCCTGAATTTTGGTGGGGTGACACTGGCGAGGGTGGCCCTGCTCCACTGACCCCGTTTCCAAGGCTGGGCAAGCCCAGATCCCTCGGGATTGTCCGGGTAGGGTTGTTCACCGCTGGCAGATGTCCCCCACTCAGGGATGGTGTCACCACCTGTGACCACGGTGACAGAGGAACCCAAGTGCCACTCCCTGACAGAGCACAGAGGTTCTCCTGGTGTCCATCCCAAACCACCAGCAGGTGTCCCTCACTCAGAGATGGTGTCACCACCAGAGACCGGGGTGACAGAGGGACCTGAGTATCCTCCTGGTGTGGCAGCGACATTCTCCTGGAGCCGGTTTCCATCCCAGGCCGCCAGCAGATGTCCCTCACTCAGAGGTGGTGACACCACCTGAGGCCACGGTGACAGAAGGACCCAGGTGTCCTGTGACACCCCCTGGCAGAGCACAGAGTCTCTCCCGATGTCCATCCCAAACCACCAGCAGCTGTCCCTCACTCAGGGATGATGCCACCATCCCAGGCCAGGGTGACAGAAGGACCCAGGTGTCCTCCTGGCAGGCCAGTGAGGCTCTCCTGGAGCTGGTGGCCTCCCTCCCAAAATCCCAACCCCACATTTTGGATGGCTCCTCACTCTCCGAGTGGACAAGGAGCTCCTGATGGTTCTCCAGGAGCCTGGGGAGGCGTTGGCTTCTCCCAGCGGAATGGAGCCACCTGGCCGGATGCGGGCGGGGCTGGGTGGTTTGGGGTGGCTGGAGTTTTCCCGGGAAGGGCCATCCCGCGGGTCTGTGTGCCCTGCAGGCGCGCACTGTACATCGTCACCTTCCTGCTCTTCCCCACCAACGTCCTGGTGGGCGTCATGGCCGCAGTGTGGCGCATGCTCATCTCCGGCCTCTACAACGCCATCCACTTCTGCCGGCTGGACATCAGCCTGCTGCACCGCGGCGTGGAGACCTTCGACCCAGGTGGGACATCGAGAGGCCACCGTGCCACCAGCAGGATCCTTGTCCCACCACGGGGGGTTGGGATGGGGGCTTGGAGCTGCTGGGATTGAGGGTGGCCCCAAATGTTGGGAGTGGGACACCTGGAGAAGGTGGCTTCTCCTGATTCCTGCTTTTTATCTCAAAAAAATGAGTGGTGACCTTGGAGCTTCACCAGCGGTCACCTTGTGTCCTGGCATAAAGAAGAAAGGACCTCAGGCCTTCCCCTGTTTTTCCTGTGGGATTGAGGGTGGCCTGGAAATGGGACGATGGCAACAGGTGGCTTCTCCTGGTTCCTGCTTGGTTCTGCTCTTTGATCCCAAAAAACAGGGGATGACCTTTGGAGTTCCACCAGCAGTTACCTCATGTCTTGGGATAAAGGAGATGAGACCTCAGGGGACCTCTGGGGACCTCAGGTCTTCCTCTGTTTTAATGCTGGGAGTGAGGGTGGCTTCAGACCATTGGGAATGGAACACCTGGAGCAGGTGGTGCCAGCTGGGTCCTATATATTTATCCCCAAAAAAGTGGATTGAGCTTTGTGGTTTCCGCTCATCTCCTGGGATAAAGGGGAGGGGACCTCAGGGGAGCTCAGGCTTTTCTGCTGGGATTGTGGGAGCATGGAGACCAGAGCTGGATCTGTCCCTGGGCTCCAGAGTGGGAATAGGGAATGCGGTCCCAAACGAGGGCGCGGTGTCCCCACAGGGTACCGCACCTACTGCCACTACCTGAAGGTGGAGGTCAGCCAGTGCCACCCGCTGCTGAAGGCCTTCTGCTTCCTGCTGCTCCAGCCCGGCCGGACGGAGCCGCCGGCACCGCCCCGGGACACCCAGCTGGAGGAAGGTGGGACCTGGAGGCACAGGGGGAATGGGGGGAAGGGACACGGTGGTGACCTCTGGGTGGCACCTTTGGTTGGTGTGGGGACACCTCCATCCATCATCCATCCATGGATTCCTCCATCCATCATCCATCCATCCATCCATCCATCCATCCATCCATCCATCATCCAATGGCTGATTCTGCTCCAGGGATGGGATGGGGCTCTTTGGGGTGCTGTGGGATCTTTGTGCCTCCCGGGAAATGAGGCTGAAATCCGGGAATCCTGGAACACTTTGGGTTGAAAGGCCTTTGAAGCCCATCCAGGGACACCTTCCTCTATCCCAGGCTTCTCCAAACCTGTTCAGCCTTTCCTTGGGCACTTTGGGCATCCAGGGGCAGCCACCGTTCCTCTGGGAATTCCATCCCAGCCAGGAATTCTGTCCCAACCTCCCCTTTCCCAGCAGGAATCCATCCCTCTGCACCTCATCCCAACCCCTCTCCCGCTCTCCTGGTGCTTTTCCAGGCCCTGAATCCTCTCCCTGCTGCTCCCGTCTCCTTCCAGGCCTCCAGCTGATGCATCCCAAGCACCCGGCTCCAGGAAGAGCGCGGATCCGGCGGATCCGGGCGCGCTGGTGGGTGGCCTACACGCTCCTGCACAACCCCTCGCTGACCGCTTCCCGAAAAACTGCGCTGGCCGATCCCGCAGCCAACGGTGCCCAGCTCGGCATTCCCAGGCCCTGAATTCCCGGGAATCCCACCCCATCTCCCATCTCCCACCTCCCATCCCCAAATTCTGGACGTTTCCCTCGCCCTTTCCCAGCCTCTGGACTCACTCTGAGGGTTTATCCCTAAATCCACACCGAGCCACTCGCGAGGTCCGGAGGTGACACCTCCGAGTCCAGCCTGGATGGAGCCGAGCCAAGGAAAAACACTCCCAGCATCCCAAAAATATTTTGGGATTCACTCCTGCAGCCAGCCGGGTTCTCAGCAGCTTTTCCAGCACTGGACAATTCCCAGAGAACTGGGAGAGGAGCTGGGAGGGATTCGCAGCTGGCCGAAGGAATTCTCAACCACCAGGAATTACCCTGGGAGCTCCACGTGGGAGAAAATTCCCATTGCTGGCTTCTCCCTTCCTGATCCTGGCTCCATTTGGGATCCACATCCACTCCTGGGACATTTTTTCCCTGATTTTTGAAGGATCAAATCCCGCCCTGCTCCCCGTCCTCTTCCATTCATGGTTTTGTGGTGATCCCGGGGTTTTCCAGGGCTGGGATCCATGGAAAGCCTCCCTGGGAAGTGCAGGGGAAGGAGAATAAACAGATACCTCGTTCCTACTCCCGGGATGTGCAGTTTTCCTTGGATATTCCCACTTCCAGTGGGATTTGGGACCATCCCAGCCCCAAACCCAGGGAACGGTTGAGTTGACTTCGCCCAGCAGAGATTTCAGGGTTCTGCTCCAGCTGGGAATGTTGGGATCCGATCCGTGATCCCGCTTTAGGGCAGTTTTATGGGAAAACTGCTCCCTTCGCATTCCCACAGCTTTGGGAAGGGTGGGAATGGGAATGGGGAATTTTGGGGATAAAACACCATCAGGATGGGAATGAGGGGCTGCTGGATTATCTCTTCCTGCTCTTAAATCCTGGAATTCCTGCCTTTTTGGGCTGGAATGAGCAGGATCCTGGTGGATCCCAAACACCCCAAGATTCCCTTGGGAATTCTCAGCCCATGGAGCTGCCAGATCATCCTGGATTTCCTTTGGGGTTGGCCAGAGGTGCTCTCTGCAGGATCCCAGGGACCCCATTCCCTCCCTCTGGAATGTTCCCAGCACCCTCAGGACGATTTGGGGGCACCGGGGGTGATTCCCATGCTTTTGGTTTTCCTTGGACAGACCCCTCCCTTTTCCCAGGATTCCCACCCAGCCTATCCCAACCCCTGCAGCTACAAAGGCAGCCTGAAACACCTTGAAAAAATCCCTTTAAAAATCCCTAAAATCTCTAAAATCCCTTTAAAAATCCCTAAAATCTGTGGCAGCTCAGTGCTACGGGCGGGGCTGAATTTTGGGATCTGTTTTCACAGCCCCACCCAAGGCTCCCTGGAGATCCATGGAGTTTGTGTGGTATTCGGGATAGCAGCAGCATCCTGGGCGGAATTTGGGATTTTCTTCCCCTTCCTGGTGCTTCCCGGCTCACAAGGAAACCCCAAATCCGCATCCTCAACTCTGCTTCCCAGCTGGAATTTTGGGAATAATCCTGGATCCCACTATTCCCAGGGATAAAATGGAGTTTAAAGGTCAGATACTGTGAAATGAACCCAAAACTTCCATTGGGGCCATGATTTTTATCCCACAGTGGGAAAAATTTATGGGAATCCAGGAGCTCCCCACAGAGACTCGGCTGCCCTTTCCTTAAAATACCTCTGGACACGGAATTTTGGGGCTGGTTAGCTCCAGGCTCTGATTTTGGGGTCACTTCCATTCCCAGGGAGCTGCAGGGTGGGAATTTGAGGTGTCCCAGGATTTTGGGAGTTCCTTATAGTTTTGGGGTGGGGGGGGTGGGGAGCAGGGAAGTTTGGAAGATCTTGGGATGCTCCAGAATTGGGAAGAATCTGGGGATTCTTCAGCATTGGGAAGGATTTGGGATAGCTGGGAATGACAGAAGTGTCCCCTGTTCCAGGAGGGTTGGGGACAATCTGGGGAAGCCCAGGAGCTGATGGCTCGAGGGGATTTTGGGATGCACAGACCAAGTGAAGCCCAGCTGGTTTAGATAAAAAAAAAATGAGTTTATTCAAGTCGTTTATAAAAAAGTAATTATTAATTCAAGGTATTTATTAAGTCAAGGTATTTATTAAGATTGTTTCTTTATTACAGGTGTTTATGATGGGTATTTTGTAATTAAAGGCATTAATTAAAGGCATTAATTAAAGGCATTTATTGCTGTCCCTACAGGGCATTACAAGGCCACGGGGCTGCAGGGCGCGCCTAGATTCCCACTAGGAATTCTGGTGCTGTATCCCAGTCCAGGTGCCATGGACATTCCCAAAATCCCCCGAGGTTTCCCGGTACACCTGGAGAAGGAATATTTGTCCTGCTAGGAATTCTGGAGCACTCGGGGAATGTTTATGGCTTCAAGGCAGCTCAGGTTCTCTGTTGTTCCCAATCTTTCCGCCATTCCCACTGGGAACAGTTTGGGAATCTTTGGCTCAAGCCCGGTGGGTCCAGCCCAGATGGGTTTTTGGGATGGCAGTCGGGGTTTTAGGGATTCCTGCAGCATTCCAGGGCCTTGGTGGTGCTTGGAATGCTCCTACAGGGATAAAACCCAGGAATTTCTTCCCCATCCAAGGTTGTGGGTCCATCCCAATCCTCTGTCCCATATGTATCCCCCAGGACCCCATTCCCAGGGATTTTGTCCTTGGATCCCTCCCTGCTGGCAGCTGTGGTGGCTCTGGGGCAGGATTGTCACCACTGTCACCTCCTGTGGCCACCCTCGTATCGGGGCAGGGAAAAATGCAGGAAGTGGCGCTTTGGGACAGCCGGGAATTGGCGGCAGATCCTGGCTGATCCCGGCTGGATCAGCCCCACGTTCCCTAAGCTCCTCCAGGAGCGGGAACGTCAAGGGCTGGACCACCCGCCTCGGGCCTGTGGTGGCCCCATCGGGCTCCGGAGCGCTCCCGGATGCCAGAAGCTCAGCAAAGGCACTACGAGAGGAAAAACTACGGAAAAACGGGAATCCCGAGGCGCCGCTCACCCTTCACCAGAGCAGCAACCCCAGAGCCAGTGAAAGAATCCCCAGGTGGAATTCCCGGGCTCCCGCGCCGCTCCGGGCCTGGCCGGACACGCGGTAGACGATGACCAACTTCTCGCCCATCCCGGACGGGTCCAGCTCGTCCCCCTTGGCGCAGCTGTGCCCGCCGGGGTGCCCGGCCTGGGGGTCATCGCGGGGCAGCTCCTCGGCCGGGTTGGCCGAGCCGGCCAGCGCCACGTTGATGGACACGTCCCTCGTCCCCACGTCGTTGACCGCCAGGCAGGTGTAGGTGCCCTCGTCCTCCTTGCCGAAGTCGGGGATGGCCATGGTGCCGTTCTTGAAGGCCAGGAAGCGCTGCCGGCCCGCTTTGGCGCCGCCGTCCCGCGCCACCGTGGGCCCGTGGATGTCCACGCGGCGGCCGGCCGTGCGGATCTGCCAGCGGATCTCCGGCGGGGGGCTGCCGGCCACGCTGCAGTGCAGGGTCAGCGTCAGCCCGTCCCGGGGGCCGGCCGCGGCCGGGCCGGACAGGTAGGTCAGCTGGGCCGAGGGCGGCACGCAGAGCGCGCCGGGGATGTCGGTGACCGGCCGGCCCCGCAGCCGCGCGGGCGCGGCGCACAGCGTGGAGCCGGCCCTGGAGAGCACCACCGAGGTGCCGTGCGCCCACTCCTTGAGCCAGAAGAGCTTGCAGGAGCAGTTGAAGGGGTTGTGGAAGAGCTGCAGCTGCGCCAGCGCCGGCAGCCCCTCGAAGGTGCCGCGGGCCAGCGTGGCCAGCTCGTTGTCGTTGAGCCACAGCGAGCGCAGCTCCCGCAGGCCGGCCAGCGCGCCGCGCGGCACCGCGGCCAGCCGGTTGTTGCTGAGCTTGAGGATCTGCAGCGCGCTGAGGTTGCGCAGGTCCTGCCAGGGGAAATCCGCCAGCCGGTTGTGGCTCAGGTCCAGGTTCTTGAGGTGCGGCAGGGCCGCGAAGGCGCCGGGCTCCACCGAGGAGATGTGGTTGTAGCCCAACCACAGCGACTGCAGCTCGGGCGCCTCGGCCAGCGAGGCGCGGCCCAGGCGGCCCAGGCGGTTGGCGGAGAGCGTGAGGATGGTGACGTTCGGGGACAGGCCCCGCGGGACGTCCCGCAGCTCGCGGTAGGCGCACTCGGCCAGCAGCCGCCCGTTCTTCTTGGTGGAGCAGGAGCACGGCGCGGGACAGGCCAGGCCTGGGGACAGGAGTGTCACCAGCGCCAGGGCGCCGAGCAGCGGCCTCATCCTCGCGTCCTGCCGGGGACAGAGACGGGAATGAGCCCGGCCGAACAGCCGGGATGGAAAACAATTCCAGCTGGCAAAAGCAGTTTGGGAGATCCCCTAAATCCCAGCCTGAGCAGGGGAGTCCCCCCTCTCCCCCTCGAGCTTGTCCTTCCCCCTCTGGAAAACCTTTTCCGGGTTTGGGATGAAACGTTGTTTGGGATGAGGAGCGGGAGCCGGGGGGTTCCGGGTTCCTCCCGCTGAGCTGAGGACAAACAGAGCCGCCGCAGCTCTTTCCCAACCAGCCCTCCCATAAATCAAGGAATTTTTGGGATTTCCAGTGGGCTGGCAGACCGTGTCATGGAAAAAACCCGGCGCCTCTCTCAGCCAGGGGCTGCGGGGTCCCCGCGGCCGCTGGAATTCTCGGGAAGGGAATTTTTCCCAACTTAACTCCTCATTCCCCTCTCCGTGACTTTTCCAGGGCACTCCAGAGGTTCGTTCCTGCTCGGAATTCCCAGCAGCTGGCAGCCAGACCCCTTTGTCTGAGCCTCGCAAGCGAATTCCCCTGCCCTCCATTCCCAGCCATGCCATTCCCAGCGGGAATTCTCGGGAATAAACCCCATCGGGATCTGAGGGGTGGCAAAGGCACCCCGCTGGCTCTGGGGGAGCTCCAGGTGACATTTTGGGGTACTCAGGGAGGGACAGACCCCATCTCCCGGGGACTGGGGAGGGGAATCTTGGAATTTTTTCCCTCCTGGAGCTCCGGGTGGCATCCCACCCCTTTTCCAGAGCCCCCCGGGGCTCCTCCGCCGCCTCCCGGCGCATTCCAGAGCCGTGAATAACCGCCCTGCCTCCTTCCTTCCCTCCTTTCCCGGAGTTTTTTCCCGATTTTTTCCCGTTCTTTCCCGCTCCAGCCCCTCTCCCCAGGCCCGCGCCCCCGCCCCGTCACCGCCGGCGGATCCCCGCTGTCCCCGCTCCGCTGGACTCGGCCCCGCCGCTCCCGGGCCCTCCTCGGCTTCTCCTCCTCCTCCTCCTCCTCCTCCCGGCCCGTCCCCTCCCCGTCCCCCGGGCCCGGATTGTTTTCCATGGCACCGACCCGCGCCCGCCCGCGGGGCCCGTCCTCGGCTCCTCCAAAATCCCCTAAAACCCGTTAGCACACACCCCTGAGCCCAAAACCCCCTAAAAAACCGTCACCCCAAATCCCTGCCCCCCAAAATCCCCTAAAACCCATTACCCCACACTCGTGAGCTTCCGAATCCTCTAAAAAAAGTTATCCCCAATTCCTGTCCCCCAAAATGCCATAAAACCCCATCACCCTACACCCCTACCCCCCAAAATCTCCTAAAACCTTGTCACCCCACATCCCTGCCCCCCAAAATCAATCTTAAAACCCATTAGCTCAATTCCCTGCCCCCAAAATCTCCTAAATCACATCACCCCACTTCTCTGCCCCCCAAAATCCACTAAATACCCATAAACCCAAATCCCTGACCCCAAAATCCCCTAAAACCCCATCACCCCAATTCCCTGTACCCCAAAATCCCCTAAAACCCATCACCCCAATTCCCTGTACCCCAAAATCACCTAAAACCTTGTCACCCCACACCCCTAACCCCTAAAAACCTCATCACCCCACACTTCTGCCCCCAAAATCCCCTAAAACCCCATCCCCCCACCCCGTCCCCCCCAAAATCCCCTAAAACCTGTCACCTGACACCTCTGATCCCCAGAATTCCCTAAAACCTCTCCCCCCACACCCTTACCCTACAAAATCCCTTAAAACCCCATCCACCCACACCTCTGCACCCCAAAATCCCCTAAAACCCCATCACCCCAATTCCCTGTTCCCCAAAATGCCCCTAAACCTCTCCCCCCACACCCCCGACCTCCAAATCCCCTAAAATCTTGTCCCCCCTTCAAACCCTTGACCCCCAAAATCCCCCAAAGCCCCATTTGGGGACAGGCTTTGGGGACATCATTTGGGGACAGGCTTTGGGGACACAGGGTGGCGGGGTGACCCGCAGAGGGGTTGTGGGACCGGGGCTGGATCAGGAGGGAGGAGGAAATTCCCGAATTCAGGGATGACACCAGGGATGGCACCGGGGATGGCTCCTGAGATGGGGATGGCACTGGGGATGTCCCCAAGGGCCACCTCCTCATGTCCCTGCAGAGAATTCCTGAGAAAAGGCCAGAAAATTTGGATTGTGGGGATTTCATCCTGCAGATCCTACATGGGAATGGAATGGGAATGGGAATGGTCCCTGTCCACCCCAAACTGGTCAAACTGGGAAATTCCTGACTGGTCAAACTGAGACCTTCCCAACTGGGTCATACTGGGCCAATCCCAACTGGTCAAGCTGGGCCACTTCTGACTGGTCAAACCGGGACATTCCCAACTGGCCCATTCCAACTGGTCAAACTGGGAAATTCCCAGCTGTTCAAACTGGGACATTCCTGACTGGTCAAACTGGGACATTCCCAATTGGATCCTACTGGGCCTGCCCATCCCAACTGGCCAAACTGGGAATTCCCGACTGGCCAAACTGGGAATTCCTGACTGGCCAAACTGGGATATTCCTGACTGGTCAAACTGGGACATACCCAACTGGTTGAACTGGGACATTCCCACTACAAGGCTTGAATTCCCTCCAGACCTCTCCGCTCATTCCAGCCATGGGGATAAAACCAGAGGATTTTTGGGAGTTCCAAGCACTCCATGGATGCTTTAACCATTCCCAGCAGGAATTTTTTTTCCAGGAAAAATGTAAATCCCCACCCCCCTTTATTTGTGGCCTCCTGGAGAGCAGCAAATCCCAGCCTCAATCCCGGATTCCCGGGAATCTACGGATCCCTAATTAAAGGCAGCTGGAATCATTGCTCTTTTTCCATTCCCGCCGTGACTCCCGAGCGCGACGCTCAATTATGGGAACATCCACAATTATGGGAACATCCACAATTATGGGAATGTCAGCAATTATGGGAATATCCATAATTAATTATGGGAATGTCAACAATTATGGGAATGTCAACAATTGTGGGAATATCCACAATTAATTATGGAAATAGCAACAATTATGGGAATGTCAACAATTATGGGAATATCCAGGCTCTGCCAGGCAGATCTGAACACCTGGAGCAGCCTCAGACTCCCGGGATTTGGGGGGATTTTGGAGGGATTTGGGCAATTTTTCCCCTGGAGAAAGGAATGTTGGATCGCCGGGGGGGATTTCATCGGTGGGATGGGATTGGGAGCAGAAATCCAGCGGGAATTTTGGGATCACTGCTGGGAGTGCTTGGGAACCGAGGTGGCACCGGCAGCGAGAGGAGTTTGGGGAGGAAAAAAGTCAAAAAGACCTGAGGTTTGGGGTTATTTTTTTACCAAAAAAAAAAAAAAAAAAAAAAAAGATGGAGATTGTAGAAATTCCATCAAAAATTAAACACACTACAGGAAAAATGACAAATAAAAGATATCTGAAATGACAGAAATCGTATCTAAAATGATAAAAACATATTTAAAATGATAGAAAGCATATCTAAAATTATATAAAAATGATAGAAATGATAGTTAAAATTATAGAGAATTATCTGGAAAACGACAGAAAATGATCCATGAAATGATGGAAAACACACATCCGTGGGATGTTTCCTTGCTCCAGCGGATTCCGATGCTCACCGGGGGAAAATGGAATTCCTTTTTTTTCCCCTCCGGAGTGAATTTATAGGGAAGATTTAATAGATTTGGGCGATTCCGTTCGCACGCAAACGCGATTTCCGCGCCTGCTTTATGGCCGGAAAAAATGAACTGATGTTTTTACGATATTAAAAAAATGTGGTAAAACACATAAAAGGAGGCGGCTGTGGCGGTGCCACCTCCTGGCTGTCCCCTCCCCGCCCTGGGGACAGGATCCCGGTTTTTCCCCCCAAGCACGGAGGCGGCTCCACTTTCAATCCCTTTTATTGACTCGTCACGGACAGAAGCGCGCAGAGAAAGCGCCCGCGGCTCTCCGCGGCACCGGGGCGAGTGGCCAGCGGGCTGGCGGCCACCGCGGCCACCGCGGCCACCGCTGCCGCCGGCTCCGGGCCCGTCTGCGGCACACACACTTGGCTACAAGGCTACTCTACCCAAAACACACCGAGGGGACGGGACGGGGAACGGGAATCGGGGATTGGGGAGCGGGAATCGGGGACTGGGGAGCCCCCGGCGCCTCGGGGGCGCGGAGCTGTCCCGGTGAGCCCGGTGCTGAACGGGGAGAGCGGGACCCACCGGGAACGGGAGCGGCGGGGACCGGGGAGCACCAATATCCATCGGGGGCTGGAGAGAACCGCCCGGGAGCGGCGGGGACCGGGAATGTCGGCACCCACCGGGGCGCGGGGAGCATCGACCGGGAGTGCCGGGGAGCGAGGAGCCCCGGGATCATCGGGGAGCGGGGGAAAACGCCCGGGAGTGGCGGGGACCGGGAATGTCGGCACTCGCCGGGGAAAATCGGGATGAGCCGGAGCGCGGTGGGCACCCACCGGGGAGCGGCGGGGACACACCGGGGAGCGGCGGGGACAGCTCCGGCCTCGACAGGAGAGAACCGGGGAGCCGAGGGGACTCACCGGGCGCCGAGGATCGGCGGGGACTGAACCGATTCCAGCAAAGAGAATTTGGGGCTATCGGGCTTTTTGCTTTTAGCCGTTTTCTCGGGGTTTTTTCGTTTTTTAACTCGGAGGGGAAAGAAAATCCGAGGCTGGCGGGTGGCGGAGGGAGGCGGGGGAGAGGGAATCGTTGTTTCCGCCGAGCCGGCAGCGAGCACCACCGGTGCCCGAAATGGAAACGAAATCGTGGGAGGCTCATCCCGGCAGCACCGGACGAGAAGGGGAAGGGGAGGGAGGAGGAGGAGGGGGAGGAGAGGCGGGGGCGGCTCCGCTCGTTCCCAGAGGTTTTTCCCCGGGCGAAGCGGCGGTGGGCAGCGGGGGCGGGGGCTCGGGGGCTCAGCGGGGCCGCTGCCGGTAGTTGCCGTTGATCTCCGGGGAGATGGTGACGGCCTCGGCGCCCAGCGGCAGCTTGTCGCTGTACTCGGAGCGCACCTCGAACTCCTCGGCGCCGCCCTTGGACTGCGACTCCGCCATGGAGCTGGCGGCCACGCTCTCCTCCCTCTCCAGCTCCGCCGCGCCTTCCCCCTCCCTCCCGCGCCGCCACCGCGCTCCTTCTTCATCCCCCGCCTCCTCCTCCTCCTCCTCCTCCTCGGCCTCGGCCTCGCCGGGACCGAAGTTCTTCTCGGACTCCAGGTAGGAGGCGCGGGGGTCGAAGTCGGCGGCCATGCGCTTCTCCATCTGGTCGGGGTTCTGTGCCTTCATGATCAGCTTGTAGGGCTTGGCCTGCAGCTTGGCGAGCAGGTGGCACCACGTGGCGCCCAGCAGCGGCAGCGTGGCCAGCAGCAGCAGGAAGATGCTGACCACCACGATGATGATGAGCGACGGGATCTCCTTCTTGGTGGTGAACACCACCTGCACCCGGCACTCCTCGCCCGGCGAGCTCAGGCACACCGAGTAGTTGGTGCCGGGGCTCAGGCCCTGGAACCAGTACGAGTTCACGCCGGCCTCGATCTGCGACCACTGCAGCAGGGCGTGGCCCTGGCGGCCCTGCTGGCACAGGTAGAGCACGCCCAGGTGGCCCCCGCCGGGCTGGGTGGGCGTCAGCTGCACCCGGGCGTCGCGCTCGGCCACGTCCAGGGCGATGACGCCCAGCTCGAAGCTGTGCCGCTTGAAGTCGCCGCTCTGGTTGAAGGCGTGGTTGGAGATGTACTTGGAGCCGCCCGCCGAGGCCCCGCACTTCTTCTCCAGGCCCGGCGGCTCCAACGGGACCCGGCCCCGGCCCTCAGGCTCCGGCCCCGCCGCCGAGCCGGGCCGGCTCTGCCGGGTGGGGCCCAGCGCTTTGCCCCTCTCCTCCGGGGTCAGCACGCTGTTCTTGGCCGCCTCGGCGTCGGGTTTCTTGTCGCCCGCCTGCCCCTTGCCGCCCAGCGGGTCCCCTCCGGGCGCCGGCGGGTATTTCTGCGCGCCCGCCACCGCCACGTTGACCGAGGAGTGGTTGCTGCCCACCTCGTTGGTGGCCACGCAGGTGTAGGTGCCCTCCTCGCGCTTGCTCAGGTGCGGGATCACCAAGGTGCCGTTCTTGAACGCCACGAAGCGCTCGGGCTCCGGCCGCGGCTCCTCCTTGGCCGCGCTCTCCGGGCCGCTCCCGCCGAGCTCCAGGCTCTGGCCGGCCGTGCGGATCTTCCAGCGCAGCTCGGGCGGCGGCGAGCCGCTGGCGGCGCAGTGCAGGCTCAGCGTGAAGCCGTCGGGCAGCTCGGCCGCGTCCAGCTCGGGCGAGTAGGTGATGCTGACGGCGGGCGCGGCGCAGCGCAGCTCGGGCAGCTTGGCCAGCGGCACGCCGCGCAGGCGCTCGGGCAGCGCGCAGGCGATGGAGTCCTTCTCGGGGATGGAGATGAGCGTGCTCTCCATCCAGCGCTTCAGCCAGCGCAGCGCGCAGGAGCACTCGAAGGGGTTGTTGTAGATCTGCAGGTGCGACAGCGAGCCCAGCGAGTCGAAGATGCCCTCGGCCAGCGTGGCGAAGCGGTTGTTGTTGATGCGCAGCGAGCGCAGGTCCTTGAGCGTGCGGAAGGCGTCGGGCGGCACCAGCGCCATGCGGTTGTTGTTCATCTTGAGCAGCTGCAGCGCGCTCAGGTTGCGCAGGTCCCGCCAGGGGAACTCCACGATCTGGTTGTGGCTGATGTCCAGGTTCTTGAGCTGCGCCAGCACGGCCAGCGCGCCGGGCTCGATGGTGGCGATCTCGTTGTGCGCCAGCCACAGCGAGCTCACCTGGGTCACCTCGGCGAAGGCGCCGCGGGGCAGCGAGCTGATCTTGTTGGCCGACAGGCTCAGGGTGGTCACGTTGGAGGGCAGCCCCGCGGGCACGGCCTGCAGCTCCTTGTAGGCGCAGTCGGCGAACTGGTGCGCGTACTTGTCCACGCAAGCGCACGGCTCCGGGCACGCCCGGCCCGAGCCCAGCAGGGCCGCCAGCAGCAGCGCCAGCAGCGGGGCCATGTCCCCCTGGCAGGGGACAGCGCGGGGCTCAGCGCCAGCGCGCCCCGGCCCCGCCCGGCGGCGGGAGGTGGAGGCGGCGGGGCCGCGCCCCATTGTCTGTGCCCGGCTCCCCCCGGCTGCCGCCCGCTGCCTCCCGCGCATCCCCTGCTCGCCCTCTCCCCCGCTTTCCTCCCCTTCCCGGCGGCTCTTCCCACCCTTCTCGCTCTCTTTTTCTCGGCTCAGTCAGGTTTTTCTTCCCTCCTTCCCTGGCCGGCTCTTCCCACCCTTCTCACTCTCTATTTCTCGGCTCAGTCAGGTTTTTCCTTCTCTTCCCACCCTTCTCACTCTTTTTCCCGGCTGGATCAGGTTTTTCCTTCTCCCTTTCCCACCCTTCTCACTCTCTATTTCGAGGCTCAATTAAGGTTTTCCTTCCCTCTCCCCTGGCCGGTTCTTCCCACCCTTCTCACTCTCTATTTCTCGGCTCGATCAGGTTTTTCCTTCTCCCTTTCCCAGGCGGCTCTTCCCACCCTTCTCACTTTCTTTTCCCCGGCTCTATCAGGCTTTTCCTCCCACACTCTCCCCCGCGAAATAACCAACTAATTAACCTCCATTTTCTTTATCCTCTGCTTTCATCCCTCCTTCCCCAATTATTTCTTTCGCTTCCCTCTCCTCTCCCTTCCCTCCAGCTCTCCCCTCCCTCTTTCCCCCGTCTCTCCCTACTTCATCCCCGCCCTATTCCCCCTCTCCTGTCCCCCTGTCCCCCGCCACTCACCCTCTCCTAGGTGCCTCTCCGCCACCCTCAGCCCTTCCCGGCGCTCCTCATCCTCCTCCTGCCAGCCGGCCGAGGGGCGGGGGGACCGGGGGGACCCCGCCCGCTGCCCCCGCGCCTGCCGGGGCTGAGCTGCGAGCGGCGGCGGGGCCGTGCGGGCTCTGGGCTGCCGAGGCACAGCGAGAGGCAGCGATTTGCATTTCTGCCAGCCTCCCCCTCCGCCCGCTCGCCACCCCCTTCCTTCTCCCAGCCCACCACCCACCCACCCACCCACCCGGTCGGCGCCGCCCGCGGCCGCTCCCGCACCGCCGGTACCCCCGAAAACGCAGAAATAACGCCCCCAAAAAAGCGGAGGCGCCCGTGCTGCTCGGCCCTCCGCCGCCGCTGTGCGGTTCCCGCTTTCCCCCGGAGCGGCGGCGATGCCGTCGGGGCGCGGCTCCCGTCCCGCCCGCGCATCCCTCGGAGGATGGAGGCAAAGCAGGTCGGACTCTCCCGTGCTGCTGCTATTCCCGATCCATGCGGGAATTCCAGGGGCGATGCCGGCCCGTGCGGGCGCTCAGCGAGCCTTGAGTCGGGAGGGAGGACGGGGACGGGAGAGGGGGGGGATGCTGCTCCCGCGTCCCGCCCCAGGAGCGTTCCCCCCGCGGAAAAGCGGGATCCGGGGAGCGCGGTGTCCCCCAGCTCCGGGCAGGAACCATCGATCCGGGCAGGAATCGATCCCCGCCTCGATCCCGCCCGCCTTTCCCGCTCCCGACCCCGATTCCTCAGTCCCCGCCCCGCGGCGAGCGGCCAGGGCCAGGGGGACACGGTGCGGACGGGGGAGGAGAGCGGCTCCTCCCGGTGTCGCCGACACGGCTGAGTCGCGACAGAGACGGCCCCGCCCCGAGCTGTGCCTGCCGGGCACAATCCCCAACCCCATTCCCAGGGATGGATGGATGGATGGATGGATGGATGGATGGATGGATGGATGATGGATGGGTGGATCCATGGATAGCACAGATCCGATTCCATCCCCTTCCCAGATTTATTCCATTATATTCCCATCCCATTTCCCCCTCTCCCTCTCCTGGCTCCCTTTTCCCATTGTTCATTTGGGAATTGATTGATATGGCTGGAAATTACTGATCACATCCCTTCGGGATCATCAATGTCATTCCAGCAGAGCCATTCACGGCCCTAAAAACCCCCAGAAAATGGCATTTTCCTGGCAGAGAAGGGAAATTTAAGACAGTGGGTTTTTTGCAGTATTTTTAGACACCTTTTTCCAGGATTTGGGGGTTTTGGGAGCTGTTCTGCCCCTCTGGAAGTGCCAGTCCTGTTTTGGGATGGATGAGCTTTGGGGCAGGATCGGAGCAGGGAAAAGCTGATCCTGATCCCACAGCCTGGGCCTCCGGGAATAACGTCCTGGGTCGTTTGGGATCACTGCGGGATTTAGAACAACATCCTGATCCTTTGGGATCGCTGTGGGATTGGGAATAACGTCCTGATCCTTTGGGATCGCGCCCCCTCCCACCCTTCTCCCTCCTTTCCATCCCCTCTCTCCCACCCCTCTCTTCCCTCCCACTGCTCTCCTTCCCCTCTCTCCCCTTTCCCTCCCCTCCCTCTCTCCCTTCTCCCGCCCCTCCCACCCTTCTCCCTCCTCTCTCCCTTCCCCGCTCCTGCCCAGCAGCGCCGCCACCCGGGGGTGACCGAGGGACATTCGGGGGGACACGCGGGGGGTCCGGGTGGGCGCGTGACCACTGGCGGTGTGACAATGGCAGTGTGATAATGGCCGTGTGACAATGGCAGTGACACCGTGTCAGTGTCACAGGGTCAGTGTCACACGTGTCAGTGTCACCAATGTCAGTGTCACAGTGTCAGGGTCATCGTGTCAGTGTCACAGGGTGTCTCACAGTGTCACACGTGTCAGTGTCCCCAGTGTCACAGGGTCAGTGTCACCAATGTCACACTTTCAGTGTTACCGTGTCGGTGTCCCCGTGTCGGTGTCCCCGTGTCCCCAGAGCAGCGCCAGCCCGCGAGCCGCTGTGCGAAGGGGACACCTGGTGGTGGCACTGCCTTGTCACAGCCAGCCCCGCTCGAGACAGCCCGCGACACGCGACTGCCACCCAGTGCCACCTGCATGGGGACACCCAGTGCCACCTGCATGGGGACACCCGGGCACACCAGTGCCACTTCCATGGGATGGAGGGACGGGAGCCGGCGCAGCTCCGCGGCACCGAGCTGGACGTGCTGACCCGGGAGGAGCTGCTGGACAGGCTGGGTGCGTGCCGGGCACGGGCAGGGCACTGCCACCCTGTGCGTGACAGGGACAAGGCACATTGTCCTGGGGGGAGAGGCAGGTGGGCAGCGCGGGGTGGGGAAGGGGTCACCCAGGGGCTTTTGGGGGCACCCAGAGGGTTTTGGGGTCAAGTAGCATGTTTTTGGGATCACCCAGTGCGGTTTGGGGTCACCCAATCTGTTTTGGGGTCACCTAGTGCGGTTTGGGTCCCCCTGCCTGGTTTGGTGTCCCCAGCCTGGTTTAGGGTCCCCCATCGTGGTTTGGGGTCGTCAGCCCCTTTTGGCATCCCCATCGCTGTTTGGGGTCTGTCCCAGCCTGTTTGGGGTCTGTCCCAGCCTGTTTTGGGGTCCCCAGCCCATTTTGGGGTCTGTCCCAGCCTGTTTGGGTCTGTCCCAGCTGCAGGAGGCCGCCCGCAGCCGGGCCCGGGAGCAGCAGGAGTTGGGGACGCGCCTGCGGGAGCACAGCCTGGCCCTGGTGAGCGCGGGGACAGGGGACACCGGTGACACCAGTGTCCTACAGTGTCCCCAACGCCCCCAGTGACCTCAGTGTCCCAAATGTCCCCAGTATTCCCAGTGTCCCTGGTGACCCCCAGTGTCCCCAGTGACCTACAGTGTCCCCAGCATCTCCCAGTGTCTCCAATGTCCCCAGTGTCCTACAGTGACCCCAATGCCTTCAGTGTCCCCAATATCTCCAGTGACCCCCAGTGTCCCCCAATGTCACAAGTGTCCCCAGTGTCCCCCAGTGACCCCTGTCCACCACAGACCCCTCCCCCGGGAGTGACTCCCGGTGTTCCTGATGTCCCCATTGTCCCCCATGTCCCCAGTGTCTCACTGCTCACTGCAGAGCCCTCCCCTGGGAGTGACTCTCTGTGTCCCCAGTGCCCCCAATGCCCCCAGTGTCCCCAGTGTCCCCCAATGCCCCCAGTGACCCCAGTGTCCCCAGTGTCCCCGGTGTCCCCTGCCCCCCCAGAGAGGGTTCTGGATCCCCCATGGGGGCCCTCCCTGTGCCCCCAGCCCCTCCCGGCCCTTCCCGAGCCCCCCGGGCGCTGCCCCCCCGGCCTGACCCCGCCGAGCCCTTTCCCATGGAGCAGAGCCAGGCAGAACATTCCAGAACATTCCAGAGGCTCCAGGACATTCCAGAGGCTCGGGGCAGCTCGGTGGGACCCCCGGGAGCCAGAGGGGACCCCCAGCCCCATCCCCTCCCTGCGGGGCGGCCCCGCTTTGTCTCCCCGTAAAGCGAGGCCTCGAGCCGAGGCCGCGGCCCTGGGAGCGTCCCCGCTGTCCCCAAATGCCATCGGGGGACGTGGGGGTGTCCCCGGGGTGTCCCCTCCTCAGGGCTGGCCCTCGAGGGGCCGCAGGGTCAGCTGGATGGGCCGGTCCGGGATCAGGATGAGGTCGAACTTGGTGCCGATCTCCACGGCCCGCATGGTCTCGATCTTGAAGTTCTCCAGGATCTGGGCGGAGAGGACACGGCGCTGGGGCCTTGGGGACACCGGGTGGGACGGGCCCGGGGTCACCTTCGAGGTCACTCCGAGCCGAGCCAAGCCAGGATTCCACAGGATGGACCCTGCGGCCACCGCGCTGTCCCCTTGTGTCGGGGACCACATGGGGACAGACCCCACGGGGACAGACTCCATGGCCACTGCGCTGTCCCCTCATGTCAGGGACCGGCAGGACGGACCACATGGTCACCACACTGTCCCCTCACCTCAGGGACTCCATGGGGACAGAGCCTGGAGCCACCCCAGTGACACTGTCCCCTGGCATTGGGGACCCCATGGGACAGACCCCACGGGCACCGCGCTGTCCCCTCATGTTGGGGACCTGTGTGATGGACCCCACGGCCACCGCCCTGTCACCTCGCATCAGGGATCCTGCAGGATGGACCCTGTGACCACCATGCTGTCCCCTCACACCGGGGACTCCACGGGGATGGAGCCCGCAGCCATCGTGCTGTACCCTCATGCCGGGGACTCCACAGGACAGACCCTGTGGCCACCACACTTTCCCCTCGTGTTGGGGACCCCGTGGGACAGACCCCACAGCCACCACGCTGTCCCCTCACCCACGGGGATGGAGCCCACAGCCACCACGTTGTCCCCTCATGTTGGAGACTCCGCGGGATGGACCCCACTGCCACCATGGTGTCCCCTCACATCAGGGACCCCATGGGGACAGATCCCACCGTGCTGACCCCTGGCATTGGGGACCCCGCCGGATGAACCCCACAGCCACCGCGCTGTCCCCGGGCGCTGGGGACAGGCGACACTCACGTGCATGAGGAAGAGCTGCATCTCCAGCTCGGCGATGCGGCGGCCCAGGCACTGGCGGGGCCCGAAGCCGAAGCCCAGCCCCAGGAAGGGCTTGGGGCCGGCGGCCAGCCAGCGCTGCGGGCGGAAGCGCTCGGGCCGCGGGAACACGGCGGGGTCGCGGCCCATGGCGTACAGCCCCACCTGCACCAGCGTCTGCCGGGAGCAGCGGGGGACGGGGGCCTCGTGTCACCGTGTCATCCTGCATCCCCATGTCCCCGTGTCCCCGTATCCTCGTGTCCTCATGTCCCCATGTTCCCATGTGCTCGTGTCCTCGTATCATCATGTCCTCCTGTCCTTCTGTCCCTGTGTCCTCATATCCTCATGTCCCTGCCTGCCTGCATCCCCATCTCCCCACATCCCCACCTCCACATGTCCCTGTGTCCCAGTGACCACCTGTCCCCATATCCCTGTGTCTCTGTGTCCCCTCCTCTCCCCACATCCCCATGTTCCCTCATCCCCCATCCCCTTGTCTCCATGTCCCTCTGTCCCAGTGACCCCCTGTCCCCATATCCCCATGTCCCTGTGTCCCCATACCCCTGTCGCCATGTGCCTGTGTCCATGTCCCCACATCCCCATGTCCCCTTCTCCCCTGTCCCCCCCTTCCCCATTTCCCCATGTCCCCACATCCCCCCATCTCCCTGTCCCCCCTATCCCCATGTCCCCAAAACCCCACATCCCCCTGTCCCTGTGTCCCCATGTCTCCACATCCCCATATGCCATGTCCCCACTGTCCCCGTGTCCCCCTCTCCCTGCTGTCCCGCTGTCCCGCTGTCCCCTCACCCCTGGCGGGATGCGGTAGTCCTGCAGGATGACCTCGTGCGTGGTGTACCTCTGCAGGGTCACGGCCACCGGGTGCAGCCTGCACGACACGTGCCACCGGGGGCTTTGGGGACACTCCGGGGAGGGCGGTGTGACTTCCTCCCCTGAGCGGCCCCTCCTCACCGGACCCCCTCCTCCTCCTCCTCACCTGAGCAGCCCCTCCTCCTCACCTGAGCTCCTCCTCCTCCTCCTCACCTGAGTGTCTCCTTGATGGCGGCTTTGAGCAGCCGTGTGGATTTCAGCATCTTCTCACGGTCACCGCCCGCCTCGCGCTTGGCTGCCAGGACCTCTGCCCGCAGCTGCTCCTGCACGCCCGGGGCCCGCGCCAGCTCCAGCATGGCCCACTGCAGGGTCATGGACGTCTGGGGACAGACACAGGGCACACGGCTGCCAGGACCTGCTCGGTGCTGCCAGGACCTGCTCAGAGCTTCCAGGACCTGCTCAGCCCTGCCAGGACCTGCTCGGTGCTGCCAGGACCTGCTCAGAGCTGCCAGGACCTGTTCAGTGCTGTCAGGACCTCCTCAGAGCTGCCAGGACCTGCTCAGTGCTGTCAGGACCTGCTCAGAGCTGCCAGGACCTGCTTGGTGCTGCCAGGACCTGCTCAACCCTGCCAGGACCTACTCGGTGCTGCCAGGACCTGCTCAGCCCTGCCAGGACCTGCTCTGTGATGCCAGGACCTTCTCTTACCAACTTGGCACTGCCCCACCCATCACCAACCAGAACCTTCTCCCTGCCCCACCCATCACCAACCAGAACCTTCTCCCTGCCCCATTCAGGACCTTCTCCCTCCCTGTCCCACCTATCACCAACCAGGACCTTCTCCCAGCCCCACCCAGCACTTTCTCCCTGCGTGTCCCGTCCCCAGGCAGGCCGTGTCCCCAGGCCCGTACCGTGTCCAGCTCGGTGCTGTCAGGACCTGCTCAGTGCTGCCAGGATCTGCTCAGAGCTGCCAGGACCTGCTTGGTGCTGCCAGGACCTTCTCCTACCAACTTGGCACTGCCCCACCCATCACCAACCAGAACTTTCTCCCTGCCCCATTCAGGACCTTCTCCCTCCCTGTCCCACCTATCACCAACCAGGACCTTCTCCCAGCCCCACCCAGCACTTTCTCCCTGCGTGTCCCGTCCCCAGGCAGGCCGTGTCCCCAGGCCCGTACCGTGTCCACCCCTCCGGCCATCATCTCGGTGACGCTGGCGCGGATGTCGTCCAGGGGCAGCTTGTCGCGCAGGATGAGGTTGCCCAGGATGCCCATGTGCTCCTGGCTGCTCTTGCGCCGCAGCCGCAGGTCCCGGTACACGTTCTGGATGCACTGGTCCGCTGAGGGGACACGGGGACACCCCGGGGACACATCAATGTCACCGCCTTGGGAGCGGCTTCATCGTGGAGGTGAAACCTCCCAGAGGTGCCCTCGTGTGGGAAATGGATTTGTAGGAAATTTTAATATTTACACGTAAATTTTGAGGTAAGAAATGTTGGTTTAGAAACATTGTGGAAGAGGATGGATAATGCTGAGAGAGAAATTGGATCAGGAATAAGTTTTGGAGGAGGTTTTGTAAGAAAGGTTGGATCAGGAATGAGTTTTAGGGGATAGTTTTGTAAGAAAGGTTGGGTGTTTTGGAGAAATGGAACGATGGAGGATGGCTGCAGCGGGATTTATGGGGGTGGTTTGTATGGTTGGTTTTGAGGTGTCTGCGGGGTGCCGTGGGAAAGGCTGAGAGGTGAAGAAATGGTCATGGGGTGACACAGAGGTGACAGGGTGAAGTGTCCCCAGAGGTGGCAGGGTGAGGTGACAGGGTGAACTGACGGGGCGAGGTGGCAGGGCAAGGTGTCCCCAGAGGTGGCAGGGACAGGTGGCAGGGTGAGGTGGCAGGGCAAAGTGTCCCCAGAGGTGGCAGGGACAGGTGGCAGGGTGAGGTGACAGGGCAAAGTGTCCCCAGAGGTGGCAGGGACAGGTGGCAGGGCATACCCAGAGGCATCCTCAGAGGTGTTCCCATAGGTGGCAGGGCGAGCTGGCAGGGTCACATGACAGGGTGAGGTGGCAGGGCAAGGTGTCCCCAGAGGTGGCAGGGTGAGGTAGTAGGGTGAGGTGACAGGACAAGGTGGCAGGGTGAAGTGTCCCCAGGGGTGGCAGGGAGAGCTGATCCCCAGAGGTGGCAGGGACAGGTGGCAGGGTGAGGTGACAGGGCAAAGTGTCCCCAGAGGTGGCAGGGTGAGGTAGTAGGGTGAGGTGACAGGACAAGGTGGCAGGGTGAAGTGTCCCCAGGGGTGGCAGGGAGAGCTGATGGGGTGAGGTGACAGGGCAGGGTGACAGGGTGAGGCATCCCCAGAGGTGTCAGGGTGAGGTGACAGGGGGAGGTGACGGGGTGGCACTGACCCTGGTAGAAGATGGCGTCCCAGGCCTGCACGTGCTCGCGCCAGGTGCGGCTGCGCAGGCGCTGCAGCAGCGCGGGCGGCAGGTACAGCATGGGCGCCGTGGTGTGGAACATGCGCGACACGGCCTCGATGAAGCGCTGCGCCTCGGGCTGCACGAAATCCTGCAGCAAGCCCAGGCGCTCCCCGTACAGCACGTGGCACACCGCTGGGGACGGGACAGGGACAGGGACAGTCAGGGACGTGTCCCCGTGGCCAGAGGGACCTCCCTGTACAGCACGTGGCACACTGCTGGGGACGGGACAGGGACAGTCAGGGATGTGTCATTGTCATTGTCCTCATCCCCATGACCACTGGGACCTCCCTGTACAGCACATGGCACACTGCTGGGGACAGGACAGGGACAGTCATGGACATGTCATTGTCCCTGTCCCCATGGCCATGGCACCAGCCCCAGGCGCTCCCCGTACAACACATGGCACACCACTCGGGACAGGAACAGGGACAGTCAGGGACATGTCATTGTCCCTGTCCCCATGGCCATGGCCACAGGGACCACCCCCACGTGCTCCCTGTACAGCACATGGCACATGGCTGGGGATGGGGATGGGGACAGTCAGGGACATGTCCCCATGGCCACAAGGACCAGCCCCAGGCACTCCCCGTACAACACGTGGCACACTGCTGGGGACAGGGACAGTCAGGGACATGTCCCCGTGGCCAGAGGGACCTCCCTGTACAGCACGTGGCACACCACTGAGGATGGGGACAGTCAGGAACATGTCTTGTCCCTATCCCTGTCCCCATGGCCACAGGGACCAGCCCCAGGTGCTCCAAGTGACTGTGAGGGACCTGTCCTTGTCCCCAAGGCCATGGAGACCTGGCCCAGGCACTCCCACTGACCGTCAGGGACACGTCCCTGTCCCCAAGGCCACCTCCAGCCTTGCCGTGGCCATGGAGACCTGGCTTGGCCTCCTGTTTGTCCCTGAGGGGCTGGGTTTGTCACCAGCTGGTGGCCAGGAAAGGACAAAAAGCTGCTCTGCCAACAGTGTCGGGTGCTCTGGGGGACAGCCCATCTGGAGAGGGGACATCCCACCAGGAGAGGGGACATCCCACCTGGGGAGGGGCCACCCTTCTTCGCTCTCCTTTAGCCAATCCCTGAGGCCGGGCCGGGGCTGGTGGTTTTGGGGAGTTTTGAGGGGTTTGGGGGGGTTTTGGGGGGTTTGTGGGGTTTTTTGGGTTCTTTGGGGGTTTGGGAGGTTTTCTTGGGTTTCGGGGGTTTTTTGGGGTTTGGGGGGTTTGAGGTTTTTTAGGGGGGGATTGGACTTTTTTTTGGGTTTTTGGTTTCTTTGAGGTTTCTTGGGGGGGTTGGGGGTTTTTTGGGGGGAGTTTTGGTGTTTTGGGGGTTTTTAGGAGTCTTTGGGGGGCTTTGGGTTTTTTTTGTGTTTGGGTGTTTTGGGGTTCTTTTGGGTTTTGGGGTGTTTGTCACACTCAAGGGCGAAGCGGAACAGCTCCTGGCTGAAGTCTCCCGTCCAGCAGCCGCGGCCGCTCTGCCGCGCCTGGGCCCGCGCGCGCCGCACGAAGTCCTCGCCCACGGCGCTGAGCAGCGGCACGAAGCCGGGCACGGCCGCGGGGGCCAGCGCCTCCTTGTTGAGCAGCAGCCGGTCCGAGCGCCACGCCTCGCCCGTCCTGCCCCGGGGACACGCCCGATGGCACCCCCAAAGCCCGGCCATCGTCCCCAAACCCGGCCATCGTCCCCAAAGCGCGGCCAATATCCCCAAAGCGCGGCCAACATCCCCAAAGCACGGCCAACGTCCCCAAAGCGCGGCCAACATCCCCAAAGCATGGCCAATGTCCCCAAAGCGCGGCCAATGTCCCCAAAGCACGGCCAATGTCCCCAACGCCCTCCGGCCGCGCCTGTGTCCTGCCCTGGGACTGTCACGGCAGGAGCCCAGATTTGGGGCCCCCACATCTGGGGATGTGGGGTCAGCACTCACTTGAGGAGCCCGGGTTTGGGGTCCCCACTTACTGGACGGGATTTGGGGTCTGCACTCGCTTGAGGAGCCCGGGTTTGGGGTCCCCACTCACTAGAGAGGATTTGGGGTCAGCACTCATATGAGGAACACATACTCGGGGTCTCCACTCAGTGAAGGGGATTTGGGGTCCCCAGTCACTTGAGAAGTGACAGGAGCCCAGATTTGGGGTCCCCACTCCTGGGGATTTGAGGGCGAAGCGGAACAGCTCCTGGCTGAAGTCTCCCGTCCAGCAGCCGCGGCCGCTCTGCCGCGCCTGGGCCCGCGCGCGCCGCACGAAGTCCTCGCCCACGGCGCTGAGCAGCGGCACGAAGCCGGGCACGGCCGCGGGGGCCAGCGCCTCCTTGTTGAGCAGCAGCCGGTCCGAGCGCCACGCCTCGCCCGTCCTGCCCCGGGGACACGCCCGATGGCACCCCCAAAGCCCGGCCATCGTCCCCAAACCCGGCCAATGTCCCCAAAGCGCAGCCAACGTCCCCAAAGCGCGGCCAATGTCCCCAACGCCCTCCGGCCGCGCCTGTGTCCTGCCCTGGGACTGTCACGGCAGGAGCCCAGATTTGGGGCCCCCACATCTGGGGATGTGGGGTCAGCACTCACTTGAGGAGCCCGGGTTTGGGGTCCCCACTTACTGGACGGGATTTGGGGTCTGCACTCGCTTGAGGAGCCCGGGTTTGGGGTCCCCACTCACTAGAGAGGATTTGGGGTCAGCACTCATATGAGGAACACATACTCGGGGTCTCCACTCAGTGAAGGGGATTTGGGGTCCCCAGTCACTTGAGAAGTGACAGGAGCCCAGATTTGGGGTCCCCACTCCTGGGGATTTGGGGTCCCCCTATCACTTGAGAAGCTCAGATTTGGGTTCCCACTCACTAGAGGAGCCTGGATTTGGGTTCCCACT